ATGATAAAGAAATTATATCTCAAATTTGGTGGTGGTTGCTACACAGCAAGGGTATCAAATGAGGGTGTGAAGACATTCGATTATAAAATTTTACTATGTAAATTCGAACTTTACTATGATGCAGATCATCAAATTTTACTACCCTATAGATCGGCGGGAAATGTCCTGTGACTGTTGGTAAAAAAACAAGTATTTGTATTACCCGTTTATTCGATTATTTTGGCGGATCATCAAGTGAGGATACTAATACTTTTAAAGATCGTGTAACATTATGAGTGTCCATATTAATATTAATATAATTGTTCGGGTCCTTATTGACACCATTCCCCAGTTAATAATATTATATCTATTACAAGTTAATACATTTCCCAAATTTAAATAAAATTATTAACTTTTGTTTAAGCCACAAATATTGTATTTACTTACACAAAATTTTTTTTATTGAAATAAATATTAAAATTAATGTGTAGTTTTTACATACATAAACTCGATAAGTCGGTCATGTGGGGTGAGCTCATATGACCGACTTATCGAATTAAATTACTTAAATATTAAGAAAATGGGAAAATCTTGGCTGACTTATCGAGTTTTACATATGTATGTACCCTGTATTTTATTTACAATCATATTAATATATATAAAATAACTAAAGATGTTAATCGGTCCTAAACAGTCAAGGACGGTCCTGGGACTGGCAGTCCTATTTTTGGGACCAGACCGGACTTAAGTCCTAAGAAGTCCTGAAAAAGTCCTTTTTTTTTTAACATTATTATTTTGAACTAAAAAACTTTTTATTATTATTATAAAATTATTATTATTATTATTATTATTATTATTATTAATTATTATTATTATTATTTGAAATAAATGGTATTATTATTTAGCAAACAAATATAATAAAAATTTATTATTTGCATATCAACTGGTTTGGTTTTTTTCAAACCTTATCTTGACGTTAATGACATGATTTTATTAATGGACAATCATGAAGTTTCATATATCTAATTTCATGTTAAAAATTTTTCGTCTTTATTTTTTTATTGATATATTTTTTAAATTCTAATACAAAAATTTCTATATAATGGAAAAAATAATAATTATCTCCAAGAATAAAGTATTTTATTTACAATAAGTTTCACGTGACAAACAACCAATCCAATGAATTCTAACATTCATCATTTCTATTTAAAAGAGAACTTGGAATTTTTCTTAAAGGAGGGTTTAGAATATTTTTAATGAATCTTAAATTAGAACAAGAGACTATACCGCCAAGAGCTCCTGGAATAAGGGAAGACCTGATAGAGAATTGTTTAATGAATTAATACTTGAAATTAATTCTGAAATGAACAATAATGATGGATAGTTTCGAAAGTAAAGTATAAATACATATTCGCGGAAATTATTATTACACTTTAGCACACCCTTTAGCATAAATTATTACTATCATCATCATTCAAGACTCGGATAATACAATGCAAAAGTATTTTTACTTATAAAGTTATTTTTATTAATTGAGATAATTAATATTACACAGAAAAATAGATTTTTTTCGATACAAAAAACTCCAAAAATCAACACATCATCAAGAGAAAATAAATTTTTTTTTTACATAATTAAAGGCAATAAAAAATACATAGGTGTGTTCTCTGAGATTTATTTTATTTGTATACACAAAAAAATTTCATCTTACAAGGCAAAAGTATAATAACTTTTTTTATAAAGGGTGTTTTTTTTCGTCAATTTTCCCCCACCGATCACTATATCATAGACGGATCGTCAAAAACAAACATTTGTAATAAAAAGATTAGTTTCCTTGTATCAATTTAACATATTTCAGGTGACTTTTGGTAAGAGTTCTCCTTGTACTCTAGGCTCGTAAAACTTAGAGAAAGTGTAAGTGTCATGTGTTCCTGCATTACATAAATGCAAAGCTTTTATTTAAAAAACTAAATAATATTACTGGCCGAAACAAAAAAATAATGGATCTTTTAATATGTTGTGCTTAAAATTATTTTCTGAAGATAGTTTCTAAATTTGCACTAGTTAAAACTGCGCGCGACCATAATATTGAGGGCGAAATAATTAATTCTCCTCGTAAAATACAATAAGTTTCTCTTTTATTTTCTTTTATAATGAATTTTAGATGAATAGGTAGAACATGTAGAGCAGATAGAGATATGTTTTTCATTTAGTTGATTTAGTTGATAGTAAAAACTTTAATTATGAAATTCAGGGTGCGGCGCTAGCCAATTTGCAGATTTTTGTAAATAATTAAACAAATTTGTATGTACATGTTTTACAGCAAAATTTCGTGTTACGTATACTCTTATTTCATTATGTAACTAGTAACAGAGATTGATAAACCGCAAATAAATAATAATAAATGATAAAAATTTCCCTTAATATTTATATATTAAGTATTTTTTTTCCGTCAAAAAACTTTTTTCCTTCTTCACTTAAATTTTTAAAAATAAAAAAAAAATGAGTGAACCTAATGGCAATTGTTTATATTGTTATAAACCCAACACAGGAAGACAATGGTGCAAGACATGCGATCCAGAACGCTTAGTTGAAAGTTGGAATATCGAAAATAATCACATAAGGGAATGTATCTTAAACAATGTAAAAAAAGCAAATCATTACGATGACCCATTCCTTGAATATATCCCTTATGAAAATTTTGAAATTATTGAAAGAATTGGTGAAGGTAGCTATGGAGTTGTATATCATGCCAAATGGCATAATGGTGAGAGATCTTGTGAGGGGGGTGCTAAATCTAAAAAAAAAGAGACTGATGTCGCCATTAAAGAAATAAAAAGTGGTTATGATATAACCCTTGATTTCATATCAATGGTAATGAATAATAATATTTATGCGATAATAAATTATTGCTTTTAATATCACACATATTAACCAATATTAATATGCATTATATTTCGTAAATGTCATGTGTATAACTTGCACACATGTAATAGATTGAAACTCATCTTCAATGCTTCTATGAAGATCAAAGTTATGTCTCAAGGAAATTATTAAAATTATACGGTATTGCACAAAATCCAAAAACAAAAAGTTATATAATAGTTATGGAATATAAAGAAGGTGGTAGCCTACGGAATTATCTGAACAATGAATTCCAACAATCCCAATGGAAACATAGAATCGAAGTCCTTTACAACATATCAGGTGGTATGAAAAGAATTCATCGTACAGAATGTATTCATGGTAATCTTCATTGTGGGAATATTTTAATGAATAAAGGAGGAACCAATACATATATTACAGGATTTGGATTTTCATCAACTAGCCCTGATAGTAATATGAAAGTGTTAGAGGGAGTTTTGCCATATATTGCGCCAGAAGTACTGCACGGACAATCAAAATCCAAGGAATCAGATGTTTATAGTTTTGGTGTAATAATGACCGAAATGACTACTGGAAAACCACCATTTTGTAATACTACACATGATGAAAAATTGGCTGAAGAAATTTGTATGGGATTGAGACCAGAAATAAATAAAAGCATTACTCCACCGAATTACTTCCAATTGGCTAAACGATGTCTTGATGCAGATCCAACAAAAAGACCAACTTTTGATAAATTGCATGACACGTTAGAGTTCTGGCATGATGCATTATCTGAGCGTGGTCTTCTTCCAAACGAGGAAAAAACTAAGGTTATTAGAGAATCTTTTGAACCATTTGATAAGATTCAGATTGAATCAAGTTACACTCCTCGTGAAGGTGTTTTTTATATTAGAAGAACATTAGGTCTCGGTCAATTTTCTAAACCGGAAAACTACAAAGATCATTATATTTATTAAAAAACCATCATTATTTATTTATAATTGTAAAAAAAAATTAATTCATTTTATTATATCATCCATTTTATTATTTATTATTTTATTTTTAAAATTATATGAAATTAAAAAAACAATAAAAAATATTATTATTAAATATTCTAAACTTGTTCAATATCAGGACGTTTCAGGTTCAAATCTCCAACAGCCTAATTTTTAAGAAAAATTTACAAACAACAACCAACAACTATTATTTTTATAGAGTTTTTCATAAACAATCATGTAACATGATACTTCAATATATTTATTCTCAAAGGGAATTGTTCCACTTGAAATTTCCCAAAATAATATACCAAGACTACTTTTTTTTGATCTTCTATAAAACTTTTTTTGAGAATCCAAATATTGTGTCAAGTTGAAATAATGTTGTTGACTTGAGTGAATTGGTTGTTTAAATGATCCAAAATTATGTAATCTAATACCACCACCATTAAGATGCTTATATTATTAGATGATAAAGAAAGAGATTAATTATTTCATAAAAAATAGAGACAATGATAGATACCAGGTCACCATGAACGATATAAAACAATATAATGCAGATATTAATTCTTTAGCAAGTTTTAATCTTTGCATCCACGACAATTATTAGTGCTTAAGATAACATATGGTGCACCAACTCTTAACCCGACAATAAATCATCTGACTTTGAAACCTTTAACTCAGCGTAGGATCATTTTTTGGAAAATCCACAAGTAACTATTTTCATTGTGATAAGCACTACAATGTTACCAGGTCCTCATACAACAGAGTTTTCCCGGTCCTGATTTCAGTATTAGTATATATGTAATTCGATAAATCGATGTTCATTATACAGGTATTAGTTTCAGGAGTCAAACCTCGTTTTAACAGATTTTAAAAAGTACTAGTCACGTTATAACGGATGTTATATGTTTTTATATATCAATATTAATATTATTAATATGGAGCCAAAATATTAATATTAAAAGTCGTTATATATAACACGGATTTAATTATGTTACTATTACACTTCATTATAACAAAGTGTTTTTAAATTATGAGAAGTGCATAAAAAAATATGTTTTCTTTGCTATCAAAGCAAATAGTTCTCAAGATGATGTTTAAAGTTAATTTGTAATATTACATACATAATATTAGATAATTGAAAAATAGTAATAATAAATCGGAGATACTGATTATGATCAAGAGTTCAAACCAGTCCAATTTGATATTGTTACTCAATTAATAAACCAATAAAATAATTAACTCACGGAATTATTGAGAATGGATTAAATTCTAAATTGTACGGATCTTTAATTCTTAGATTCCATTTAAACAAAGGTATTTAAATGATTTTGATCACTTTAGAAATAGCTTGAAAATAATTCTACACAGAAGCTTCAAATAGTGTTTAAAGGAACACATTTAATTAGGATTTCAAAGAAATCAGAGAACTAGACGATAGAACCTTTAACAACGTTGTAATTTTATTAACTTCATGTATTATCATCATTATATAACTTTATAATCACCATATATCATAATCACCACAATCATCATTTAATAAATAACAAACTGCCATTGTCATCGTCCTCGTTGTTGTCTTCGAATTTTATATTTTCGTAATGATAAAAAATCTATCTCTAACAATGAATTCATACTAATCCCGTGCATGACTATTTTCTCTCATTTTATATTCGACATTATTTTTTTTTAATTACTATCTTACCAGGGGGACGCCTTTGCTAAGTATATTTGTATATATTTATTTCTTTTATCTTTTGTTATTTCAGTAAAACTTAGGTTGTAGCCTAAGACCCGTGGGTGGGACAATAGAATTTAAGATAACTTAGGTCAGAACCTAAAATTAGTGAAAAACTGAGGTAGGCTGAGACGAAGATATAAAAGTAAAGCCCAATGTACTTTAAATATATTTGAACGCTCCGATAACAAGTACTGCTGAAAAATCGTGATCGAGCTATTCCCGGGGATTGATAGCCGAAGAGCTATTGAAATTATTGATTGTGTTTAAAAAGAAAAGCAATTGCATTTGAGATTAGAAAAGTTTAAAAGTATTGAATTTGTATATGTATTAATATTGTTATAAATAAAATATTGAAATTTTGGTGAGACTCGGACACGATCTCACATTTTGGCGACGACGACAGGACACGATCTCGTGATTCACTATTTTATAATTTATCTAAGAAAAAACTCCATTCGTATATAATAATACAATTAAAAGGTTTTATTTTTTATTTTTATGTAATCTATTAGACTATTCATCTGGAATACTTAATTCAATTTGTTGTGAATCTACACAATCTTTATAAGGATAAATATTAGTTATAATCAACGTTAATTTTGATATCAAATTTAGAACTATATGATAATAATTACCATTAGAGTTGCTAATAATTCATATGCGCTGATTTTGTTTGAACAGTACAGTATGATCATAACGTTATGAATACTTTATACTAACAAAAACCCATTGGTTTTGAGGTGGGGCCATTGGTTTGACGGGTTGATGGATAGTAAATTAGTTTTTTTAGTGGAGCAAATAATTTTTTTTAGGGTAATTATCATTCTACCGACCAGTTTACACATTAAAAATACTCGTGTTTAATGTTAACATCGAGACACAATAAGACATAAGGTTTGAAAAAAAGGCCCAAAAAACCAAATCGGCTGATATGTGTAACTTTATTTGAAATTACAGGTTGAGGAAGATTCATGAATTTTAATAATCTGCTGGTATAAACAGCATTGGATGCACAAATTCTGCAATTGTTGAAAGGTTAAATTCAATATTGTCCATTTCATCAATTTCTTTTTGAATTAATTTTATTTGATCAATTTGTTCTTGAAAATATTAATAATAATTAATTCCATAGGAGTATTAAGGATTATTTAAAATTTGTTTATTAGAGGACTTGAGCCAATATAAAATGATGTCTTCAATTTCTCCAACAGACGGATGTTTATCTGGATCAGCATTCATGCATCTATATGCTAATTCAATGTAAAATTTTGGAGTATTGTTTGAGAATCCTGGCCTTAAACCTTCACATATTTTCATAGCAAGATATAAATCATGTGCTAAATTGCTGAAAGGTTGTTTACCAGTTGATACTACTGACATCAATACACCAAAACTATATATATGGGTTTTTTCTTAATACCTCTGGTGCAACATATGGCAGTACTCTAAATATATCCCTTTAATTTGTTTGATTAGCTGGAATTGACAATCCAAAATCTGCAATATATGAATTATTATAATCACTAGAAGAATATTACCACAATGAAAATCACAATGAACAATTCCTTGGTCATGAATATATTTTAACCCAGAAATAGTATAATAAAGGAGTGAGATTTTGTTTACCCATTTTAAATTTTAAATTCCTTTGTTAAAAAATCTTGAAGACTTCCATCTTTTATATATTTCATTACAAATATATATTCCTCTGTATTTGGATCTTGTGATAATCCATAAATTTGGATTATATCTGATTTAGTTCAAAAATTTTGTTAATTTTTCATGATAATAACCTCATTAGAAATTCATCAGAAATATTTTTTGAATTATGCAATTTTTTTAATGCCACAATTAAGTCTTCACCGGATCTTTTGTTGCCAATTGTATATTTTTTACCATTTATCCAAATAGCTTTGTATATAGTTGCAAATTTACCTTCACCTACACTACCTGGAAGAAAGTATCCGAACCTCGATTTTATTAATTCCGCAAACTTTTACATAATAAAAAAAATTTTTGAAAATATTATCATGTAGCTTAGGTTCTAACAAATGTGTATGCAATATTTCACAATTCTGGTATTTATATTAATTTTTTAACCAAAAAAAAAACGAACTTCAATTAAATTTGTGATTTTCATCCTCGAATTTTGTTTAAATTTGTATTTTCTCAAAATTTTACATAACGAGAAAAAAACCAAAAACACCATTTTTTAGCCTAAATTCTAAGATATAATTATGGAAAAAATTATTCTCCTGTCATTGGTAGAAAATTTGTTATTAAAAATAATCTGACAATAATAAAATCGATTAAATCAAAAAAAATTTTTAAAAATGCCAAAAAATTCCGAATTAACTGAAGCTGAGTGTGGAAAATTTTGGGGTCTTAGATTAGGCGGTAGTAGTCTTAATAAAATTGTAAAGATACTTAAGCTTCCAAAAACTACATTTTATGATACCATTAAACGTTATGAAAATGCTGAAAGCCTAAGTGCACCAAGAAGTGGACGTCCCTGTGCATTAAATGTTAGTGAACAAAAAACTCTCAGAGAAATTGCATTAAAAAATAATCGCAGTTCTGCAGAAGAGATTCAAAGAAAATTTGTTGGTGTCAGTGGTGTTGAAGTGTCAGTTAAAACAATTCGCAAAAATTTGCATGAACTTGTGATGTTTTAATAAAATTTTGGTTTTTAGAAAATTTTTGATGATCATTTTTTATATTTTTTATATTAATTGAAGTTCGTTTTTTTTTTGGTTAAAAAATTATTATAAATAGCAGAATTGTGAAAGATTTTATACACATTCGTTAGAACCTAAGCTACATGATGATATTTTCAAAAAAATTTTTTATTATGTAAAAGTTTGCGGAATTAATAAAAATCGAGGTTCGGATACTTTCTTCCAGGCAGTGTATATTCTATTGTACTACTTTTAAATTGATTAACGTCACGCTGTTAAACGAAATTAGTTTTACAACGCAAACTATAGATACATTCAGTACTGTATGGTCTACAAAATAGAAATTTTTTTAAAAAAGTCATACACCAACATACAGTACACAGTACCCTACCAATCAAATGGGTTCTGTACTCGTAACATTTAATACAGAAATGCTGATTTGCAGATCATACAGGAATGCAAAAGTCGAAAGGATAATACTTTTCGACAACATTTCATAGATTCTATGAAATATCCAAATACACCGAAGCAATTGCATATGCTTTCCCGAAAGTGTGCTGTATTGCTTTTAGATGTGTTTACGAGGATATATCAGCACGAAATCAGTATTCTTTGAATACTAAAACTTCATCTAATGGTATTAACTCATACAAATTGCCATCTTTAGTTTACGAAATAACCAATCGTCACCTTCCAAGAGGCTTTGTTACTTCTAGGAAACCATCTAGAAACATTTTTTACAATTACGTATATTGTGATTACACTAACTATACTAATTTGAATAATTGTAGTGTATATACTCACGTGTGGACATGGTTATCACAATCATTGTCTACAAAGGTGCCGATCTAACTAAAAGAAATTATGACGAAAAGATTAAATGAAAATGAGTTTATCGAAAATAACGAAAATACAGTTGATGATGATCTGGGTAACGTTGAATCAGCAATAAATGATGTAACAATGGAAATTTTATTAGAACATGTAAAAAAACATTTTTTGGGTTGTAAATTTTGTTTTTATTAAATAAGTTTGTTTGTTTTTTTCATATATCATTCATGTTTTGTCTTAATCGTATATCTTAAATATTGGTTGTGTTTACAATCGTTTCATCGACATTCATTATATTAAGGTTATCTTGATTATATCGATAGATATGGTCAAGAGAAGAGAGTTATTCTTCAACCAAGTCGAAAACCAACCCTTTAAATACATTTTTGAGTAGTACAATTTAATTTATTAGACTATTTCAAAGTTTGCCACATGGTTGCTTCCAACTTCTTAAATTCAAACCATTTGTTAACGAAACAATTGATTGTTGACGAAATGAACCAAACCAACATTTATTTTTACATTATCTAATTCATGATTTTGATTGGTCAATCAATAATTGCATGGTGCTACCAGAACGGACTCTCCTGTTCGCTTATTATTATTATTATGATTAAATTATATAAAATATAATTAATAAAAAATGTAATTTTTTTAAATTGAATTTATATATATATATTTTATTTTTATTAATTTTTAATACAATAAAATTCGATGTGAAATGTTAAAATTAAATATAAAAAATCAAGATGTACATCGCAATGTAACAATGCGTTGGTAGGCTGCACATCTTGAATAAGGATGTGCAATGGTATATACCCCGTTTTACATCGCGATGCAATTTTATAATTTAAGATCCTGATGATCAAGATGTTTTTTTTTCTTATCAAAAATAATCAAAAAAGCAATGGTTTTAATAATTATAATCAAGCAACTGGTTCCAATTCTTCATCTTTGACAGTGGCAATGATTTGTTATTTGATACAGATGGACACATTTATATTAAAATAAATAGCAATATTTGTCAAAAAATAAATTGTTTTTCCAAAAAAAAAAAAAAAAAAATCAATTCGCGTCAACAAAAAAAACCCCTGTGCAACACCAAGTACCAATAATAAATAATTAATGTGTACACATCGATCAAAATCATCTTTTTTTCTTTTTAAAAAATTTAATAAAAAAAAAAATGCCACGTCAAGAAAAAAGAAACAGAGAAAATGAAGAATTTGAAAGATCGCCCGCCACTCATCGTCACTCTAGTTGTTGAAAAAGAATGATGGTGTTTATTGCCACTTGTTGTCATTCTAGTTATTTAAAAAGAATGGTGGTGGTGCAATATTGAAACACGTCGTCATTCTAGTTTCATTTAATCAATAAACTAGACAAAAGAAAACAAGAATTGAGGAACCTCGGCCGGCCAAATTGGAGCAGCTTGGTCCATAACGGGGTCTTTTTCCTCTAGACCCACGTATCTCTGTTGCATGGTGTAAAAAATACGATGTACCAATCACCAAGATTTTTAATAAAAGTCTCCGTGAAAAATTTGGATGGGCATTAGATGTCAATGCAGATAACATACTTAAATTTATTTTTATTATTTTATAGGAGTTTTAGCTGTCATGTAGTGATTTTTCATTTGGCTGTTTTTTTTTGTTTTTGCTATTTAAAGATTATGAATTTTGTACATTAAATTTATATATAATTTTATATTATAATAAACTTATCTTTTAAAGAAATTTCAAGTGACTAAATTATAGTGACTAGTTATGAATTAAAATTTATGTGCATTGATAGTTGTACGTGCAATGATGTAATTTTCATATCTCCCACTTGTGAACCAAAAAAAAAAATCATATCTGAATTCAAGGGTTGAAGTTATTTATAATTTTGTTTTGCAAATAAGATTGTAATTGTTCAAAAATAAAACCGGATCAAACATCTTTATTTTTACTACAAAAACTACCATTTAATCATTTCAAATTTCTTTAATATTAAAAAAAAAGGTCTTTGAGCTAAAAAGAAAAATAACATGACAAGAGAAAGTATTGTTTTTTTAAAATGGTGGTTGTGCGCATTTTTGTCATTCTAGTTACAAATTAAAACTATTGTTTTATTATTACATTTAATAAAATCAAATTGTCTTTACATAGATATGAGTTGTGTTAAATTGATATTTTTGACTTTTGAAATTAACTACATGTAATCATAATATGCAATAATATTGATAATGTGCTTGAGCTGTCTTTAGTGTCTGAGTTTGAAGCAGTATTTAGAATGACCTTTACATAGCACACAAAACAGGGTTTGTTTTTGTTTTCTATTTTCATCACTTTTAAATCTTCAAAGAATGCTGAGATTCTTTTACTGTTGAATCACAATAAATCAATCTAAAGTTTGGTGACGATGAAGCTGTTCTTTTAAATAATGCAATTTTCGCTTTTCCTTATCGTTAGAGAAAAACTTAATGTTGTACAAAAAATTTTTTACGCGTTATTCAGTTCTCCTCAAAGAAAAACTAGTATGCAAAGTTGCGTGGATCTCAGTGATAAAAGTGAGTCTTATTATATCGACTGTGGACATTGTGGAATTGAGATAACAGCACAGATTGTCATAAAAATATCCATCACGAAATTCAAGGCAAATTCACACATTTATGTATGTGATTTGTTTTACCATTATCTAGAACTTTTTATCATATTTTATTGAATATAATTAATATTGTGCAACTAACATCATCATCCACCTTATGCAAATTTCAAATTAAAAGTTTACCATAAAAAATATCTAACACCTTTCTAAGTTTACAATATGTTAATTTATTTATTTTTATAATAATTCGATTATTCCAAGACATTGCTGCCATTTCATTCATTCGACGTATATATTCCTTTGCAGGTACCAGTTCACAAGTGTCTTCATCAATATAACATATCTTATAGGTAATTTGTAATACCTTCTGTCAGGTCATCTCCCATATACTTCATACTACCATCCATTTCATTCCATTTAAGAGCAATGGCTATTATCATCCAACATCCAAACATCATACCCAGAATGGTCTGTAATTATAGGATGAATACCAGTGATGCCATAGGTTTCAGCAAAGTTTTCAATATGATCTGTATCCAACTGCAAAGAATCCTTATTCGTGACTTCATGATATCCGTAGCGTCCATTTTTCAATTGGTCGAGAAGTTGATGTGGCACATTTTGCAATTCCGACAATGTGGTTTTGTTTTTCTTCTATGTACTTTTATAGTGAGAGTTTGGATTAGAGGTTTTGCTCTCAATTGAGGTAGATGCGTCTACAGATTGGTTTCCGCACAATTTCCATGTACCCATGTCTCCATGCTTGGCATCAATTCCTGATTCCGATAATGGGGAAAAAAGGGGTAGAGGGAAAAGGCTCTAATCGTTCTCCTGTTGAATCCTGACTAAGTGAATTCTATCTTTCTTCTTGCTTATTTTGGCCAAGAGTTCATCGTATAAAGGTAACATAACGTGTCCCACATTGTAGTTATGACCAGTGACTCGGTTTATCATTGTTTCTGGTTCTCCATGGGTTAGATGGTTTGATTGTTCCTGATGTAGATCAAAGAGTGAATATAAATGTCAATGCATGGCTTTATTAAAAGAAAATCAAACCCTATGGGATGTACCTGTATTGTAAAAGGGTGATTTTGTAAAGTTCTTGTTCCCCGCTTCTCCCCACCATTATCTCTACCTGTTCCCAAATCTAAATTGAAACTAGAGTTGTACTATTTTTGATTTAATAAAATTTATTTGAATCTACTAAAGCGAATAAACAAAGATTATTTATCAAAAAGAGTAACAAAGAAACTTTAAAGTATATAAACATGATTGATTTTGAGATTGACATCAAAAAAATTTGCAACATTAAAAATCATTAAACTTTATACATTTAACAATATTATTTTCTTTAAAAACAATGCTGTTTAAATTGACTACTATTTGTGTGATCGATTCAATCATTAACACCAAAGGAACAAAATTAATTATTTCGCAACAAAGGTTATTTGTTTGTTTATTTATTGTTGATTTTTTGATTTTGATATTAATGCATGATTTCTATTCAGAACTCGTTAAATCAAAGT